ATAAAATTGTTATAATTACCATCTGTGCTTGACTATCTACAAAGATGATAACCGTAAAAAAAGCTGTTCCAGTATATACCAATTAGCAATAACATAATGTCAACGTTATTTCCCAGTTTCAACGTAATTATTACGTAATTATTATTATAATATATGTGTTATATTGCATTTATATTGATGAATGGAAATAACATTAATGTTATCTTACTATTAATTGGTATTCATTGGAATAATTTGTGGCAATATGTGTGTAATATTAGAGCAGTATAAATATGCATACTATTTATAAAACATTTGTAAATAATCATGAATTTAATAATTTATTATTCAAATATTTATGTTAAAGATCATATAATTTATATCCACAGTTGATAATATTGATATTGATATTCTTTTATTATCTCTGGGTTGCGCTGTTAAGTGCGAGACGCGACGTAATGTGAAGGAATTTGAAATCAAAAAAGAACTGTCATGAGATTGAGCTTTATTTTTGCACACGATACACTTGACTTGAGAGAATTGAGATATTTCCAATTTGAACTTCTGACGAGAACTGAATTTTGTGTGTAAGATTTTCATTCAAGACGAGGTAGGCGGTATTTTCGTTAATGTAATAACCAATAATGCAACGCGCTCTGATACAAAACATAGTAATTGGAAGGGTTTTTTAAACGGGAAATAACGTGAGAATTGGAAAATGTATTGATGTATATTGAGATGATTTGTTTGGATAGGACTAGTAATAAAGTAATAAACCTTGTAACGGTCACGAAGTGAAAGTTCGTCGGGATAACTGTTTGAGCCTTTGTTGAGGAAAAAAAGGAAAAGATGTTTAAAACTGTTTTAATGTTGGGACACTTAAAATCTCGAAAAAAAAATGAATGAGAAAAAAAGGGTTCTTGAATACCGAGTTGCGACACGTCAGGCTCTTTTAAGGCTGGAAATATCAACTGAGCGCGATATTTTCAGACAAAGTTATCTTTTCATTGATTATACAGAATTAAAAATCCTTTTTCAGAATTGAAGTATAGATATTAACGCACCC